GTGTGTGTGTGTGTGTGTGTGTGTGTGTGTGTGTGTGTGTGTGTGTCTGGTGGAGGAGAGTTAAACACGTGACAGAATTAGAAACATGAAAGCACCACACAGCTTTGAGGCCATTATAATACAGTCCATTACAGAGTTTCTCTTCATTTATTACATTAAAAAGTTTTCTCCTCTTTTCTTGTTTTGCATAAAGTGAGTTTGACCCGGTCCGTCAAAACCTCCTGCAACTGGCTCAGAGACAGAGGGGTCAGCTTTATCAGGTTTAAAGTGKTTGACTTTTTAAAGCATCCATCATTTTAACACTGATAAGAATAAAAAACGTGCTCCAGTGAATTAATCACATTATTAACATTATTAACTTCAAACATCAGTGACCTTTGACCTGTCAGGGTCAGTCTGACAGATCTGTTCAGGACAGAAACACAAAGCCAACAGAAAAAACAAGTTTTCACAGGTGGATGAAATAAACTGCAGTCTAGTTTGGATTGTTTGCTCCAACCTTTTGTTTTTTTAAAAACATCTGTCAGAAAATATGGCTGTCTCTATGTGACAAATTTGCAATTAGTGCTTTTCTTGATACCAGAGACCAACTTCTTCACAAGAACAGACGTCTTGTGTTTCAGGAAGTTTGAAGCAAGCAAACAATGAAACTAACAGGGAAACTAAAGGTAAAAGTTTGAGGTTTCTCCACTTCCAGCAGGTTACAAACATCTTTGATGACAGAATGGAGACGTACACATCGTGTTGTGAAAAACCTGAAAGTAAAAAAATCAATCCCAAACAGAAGCTGATAGCCCTGAGCTCCACATGGAACTGTTTTCTCTTCTTGTCATTAGTGCAGTCTGAAGAACATCTAGGTGTTCTTTTCCAACTCTGGCTTTGTTTCTTCAGATGAACATAGATCCTATAAGGTCTGGTCCAGGTAACAGGAGGGTCAGTTAAACACACCTGTAAAGTGTAAACCCAGGATCTTCTATCATTTAGTCCATCATGAAGCAGAAACTGATCAAAATGTTCTTCATCTGTTCTCCATCAGTCCTCCTGGTCCGACCTGCCATCTGTCTTTTCTTCTCCTGAACGTTGGTCCATTAGCTGTGTCAAGTCTTGGCCCTCCTCATCCATCACTGACTGGCTCCTGCTGTCACTCTCCTCCTCCTCCTCATCGTCATCATCACCATCTTCCTCTGATCTCCTGAAACTTGCTTCCTCTCTGTTTGTCACCTCCTCGAACATCTTACTGTCCACCTCCATCTCCACCTGTCCTCCTCCCTCTCCTCCTCCCCTCAAGATTGTACCACTGCGACCCTCTGGCTGGTCCTCAGGATCTGAATATCCCAGGGGCTCCAGCCCCTGCAGGTAGGCTCTCCTCATCAGCAGCTTGGTGGACTCCAGACCTCCCTGGTCTCCAGCCTCCCTGTGGGCTGCTTCGCGCTCCTCTGCCTCCCTCTTGCAGTACGAGTAGCGGTGATTCATGTGCTGCGAGTACGATCCTGAATGAGAGAAGCGTTTGCCACACTTGTCACACTGGTACGGTTTCTCTCCAGAATGCAGGCGTGAGTGCTCGATCAGGTGGTGTTTGTGTTTGAAGGCCTTCTTACAGATCTGACACTGATGTGGACGTTTACCTGGAGACACACACAGGACAGCAGGAGACAGTCAGGACCAACCAGAGTTTACGTTAGGACAGAAAGACACAAGCACAGAACTAAACACAACTTAGAAACTTGTTCAGGACTAACAGAAGACACAACCACAGAACCTTCATCAGAAATCAACACACAAACAGAACATTAAGACATCCAGAAGACTCAGAACCACAGAAGTTCCTTCAGAAACAGAACCCAGAAATGTCCACTGGATGGACAGGAGACACAGAAAATCAAATAAACTCCAAGGACGCAAGAAGAACCCAGGAACATCTACTGGTCCTTTATTTCATGAAATCATCTGAGAGGAACAAGGTTTCCTCAAAACAGTTTTTGTTACAGATGTGATGACATCACAACTGAAACACAAACACACACTCACACAACTAATTTCAAATGTTCAACGTTAAAACATTTGGGTTTGTCTCTGTGAAAACTGAACTAAAGGTCACCATGTTGGTCAGAGTTTCCAGCTTGATGTTGGTTAGAAGTCAGAAGTGAAAGCTGCAGATAGAAGTCTGACAGGAAGCATTTATCCAGAACATCCTCGGTGTTATTCTGTGGTTCTGCAGATGAATTAAACATGAACTCTGTGGGCTGAAATGATGCTTTACTGGGTTTCTGCTCAGGGTGAGTTTATGTGGTCAACATCCGCAACAAATGATGCAACCAGCAGAAAGGAAGCAGACTCACCTGAACCAGGAACCTCAGAACTAAACTCATTAAATCCTGCTTCGGTTTCACTGCAGGAGGGGTCAGGTGCTAAAGCCAAGTCCGAAGAAGGTTTGGTACCACAGCTCAGTCAGGACTGGTCTTTAGGTACCACAGCTCAGACAGGACTGGACTTTAGGTACCACAGCTCAGTCAGGACTGGACTTTAGGTACTACAGCTCTGTCAGGACTGGACTTTAGGTACTACAGCTCTGTCAGGACTGGACTTTAGGTACTACAGCTCTGTCAGGACTGGACTTTAGGTACTACA